GGTGAGGTGAGCTAATCATAGACTGAAGACCCAGGTAAACAATGAATTAATCTTTTCTGTTTCTTATAGCATTATAGTTTTGTATTGTTTGTGGTGTAATCAACGTTTGCGTAAGTAGTAGACGTGTTAGGGAAGTAACATAACATTTTAATTATATTTTGCTAAAATGAACGAAATTACTCTAAAAAAAGATTCGTTCATTTTGCTGAACGAGACTCAAAGGTCCGAGTCGGTAAAATGATCCGAACTTCCCATCACTAAGTGATCCGAGTGCACTTGAAATACGAAGAGAAGGCGGGTCCGGATTTGGACCGGAGTCCGGACTTTGAGAAGGGCTGCACTAAACAGTACTTTTGGATTGAACAATTTAGAGTTTACCATGAACAAAAATGCTGTTTCATAAGAGAAGTCACTGACTTTTTGCGACAGGTAGAATTCAGCTTACGGCACTTCTTATTCATTCATATGGTATCCGTAAACAGCAATTGAGTATCGCACAACTCCGACTGAAATTCAATGACGTCAAGGCTGTAATGTGATTGGTTATTAAAGGGGTCATATGGTGCGATTTCAAGTTTTCCTTTCTCTTTGGAGTGTTACAAGCTGTACTGCAAACACATATTCATCACTGTGTCTGTCACGAGACTCTGTTCTCCTTTCGGGCTCTGTCTTTACATTTATTTTGAAAGATGAAGCTCGCGATTATGTTAAGTGGCGTTACATTTCCGACGAGTGCTTGCTGTGTTCGGCCAATCACAATGCACTGGTTCAGCTGGCCAATCAGAGCAGACTGTGCTTGTCGGAAGGAGGGACTTTGTAGAAAACAAAGCGTTTGAGAGAGGCGGGGCATAGAGGACTTACAATAATGTACAGTATTTGAAAAATAATGTGTTTTTTGAACATTAAAGCATGTCAACATATTCTGTTACACCAAATACACAAAATAATGATCTTTAAAAAAGCATCATATGACCCCTTTAAGGCACACATGATCCAAGTTGACCGTTACGCTTTCTCCAATAGTAAGTAATACAGACCCTCTCATCTCCCTATAGTAAGACAATCTCTTGCGGAAGCTGAACGAACTTGCGGTCCGATACTTAATGTCCGTGTGGGAACTGATTTTCCGCATGTAAAACAAAGATTGCATTCGGTACACGTGCACCGAACTGAAAGTCCTGTACCGAAACGGTTCAGTACGAATACGTGTATCGTTACACTCCTATTTGCCAACATTAATTCTTGCATGTTTGTGATTTATGTTTCTTCTCACAAGAGTCAAATGTGGACTCAGAAAGAGCAACTCAAATGACAGAGTGGCTCAAAAATGATACCTGGCCAGCAAGTCAGGTCGAGCAGTACATGAAAGAGACAGCGATCCAAAGGGCCAAATGGATTCGTGACAATGGATCCAAGACAATAATGGAAATAGTCAAAGAGTATCCACGTCCCCTCAACACTCCGGGCATGGTGAGTTTAAAATGTAAAAATAAAATCATTGGCTCATTATCTTCCTTTTTGTTTTACAACTTCTTTTGTCATGTTTATCTTTTTGTTCTTTTTAGATATTGCAGGATTTTTTAATTTTGAATCCAGACTGTGCTTCCAAACTCGCAGAAAATTGGGTATCTGTGTTTAAGGATAAGATTCTACAGTTTGCCAGCAAAGAGAAACAAGCTCTTGATCTACTTCACAACATAGAAATGATGTCAGCAGGTAATGGGTATTAAGCAAACAGTGTTACAAATGAATACAGTCCAAAATTAATTACTTTACCATCAATCCCAAAAAGGATAGATTGTGAATATTGTCCCTTTTTATAAAAATAACTGTTGGTAATGACAATTTCCATTTTCATTGTACTGTCTTTTTAACACAATTTTACAAATGAATGTCATGTATGCAGATAGGGCTGGACGATATGGCCAAAATTGATATCACGATATATTTCTTAATTTCGGTCGATACGATATAATTCCGATATCGATATGAACACTATTTATCTGAAATAGAAATCTTTTGTAACATTATAAATGCCTTTATCATCACTTTTGATCAATTTTAAGCATCCTTGCTAAATAAAAGTATTAATTTCTATAATTTCTTTCCCAAAAAAAGAGATTGAAACAAAAGTGCTTCAGCCAGAAAAAAGAACAACAAAAACTGGAAATGTTGCTGGAGACGGGCTTATTTAAAATGAAAACTCATTCTCTGCCAGCAGGAGGCGCTTTTAGAGTGATAAAACTAGCGGTTTCTCCAGTAATGGCTGTAATCAAAGCAGCTCCGCTCATGAATGCTACTTTTATCAGATCAAATGAAAATGCCATTGAAACTTTTCTGAAGACAGTCCTTTCCCTTCAGAGATACATTTATATAAAACACCCGCGCCGTGTTATGAATTTGAAAAGTGCAGTGCTAATGTTTATTCAACGAAGTCAAACGGCACAAATAAATCAATGTATGGGAAACTGGTAATGTATATCGAAATATCGGAAATGTGTTTAAAAATCAAATCACCGTTATTGAAAAAAATGATATCGCGATACATATTGATATTGAATTATTGTCCAGCCCTATATGCAGATTTATTTTAGTCAACTTTTATTGCAGTTTGAAAGATATTTTTTACATTTTGAGTGTTTTTTTTTAATTGTTGATTTTTATTTTAAAGAGAGACAGAGTGACGTCGCCGTGCAATTCCTGCCTGTAGTCCTTCCAACGTATGTGTACAAAATTGGAAGAAAAATGTTCAGACCAACTTTCCTAGAAACCAGGAAGGCCTTCATAGACATACAGCCTGTAAGTTAACAGCCACTGCTAAAACTACATGATTTAAGTATTTACAATATATTGTATGGACCCTTTTCACAGACTGTGATGACGTGTTTCCACAGTTATCAACATCGCAAATCTTGTAAAGTTTATTTAATTTTTTTATTTTTTATTGAATGCACATTTAAAACAATATGCTTCATGCTGCATTACCTTGTCAGTAAATTACACAAAAAAAATGAATTAGCACTGCAGTGAGGATGTTTATAAAACAATGGCTAAGGGAATAACGACTTAAAGGGGTCCTATTATGCTCTATTACAAAGTCTTGATTTTGTTTTGGGGGTGTACTAGAACCGCCTCTCATACTAGGTTGTTCGAAAAACACATTATTTTTCACATATTTTACATTATTACAACACCTCTCTCCTCAGTCTGGCATGAACGGCTCGAATAGTTCCTGTATCAAATGAAGGCCCGCCTTCTGAAATACGAAATGTGCTGTGATTGGTTAGCTGGGCCAGTGTGTGTTGTGATTGGCACCACTCGGCGCCTGGTCGGGAAATGTCACGCCCCTTACCATAGCCGCCTGCGAGCTTCAGTGTAAATATTACGTCAAAATCAAATCAATTTGAGCGCGATTTAAACCAGGATGATTGTAACCACTCTAAGTTCGTCTGCCTTGGGAAAGTTAGCGTGTCTCCGACATAGTGATCACACTCGTTGCCTTCTCTATTGCAACTCAACCAGGTCTCGTCCCATTCATCAATATTTGTGATATCACAAATCCCGGAAAATATGCGTTGTAGTCCAAACAAGTCGTTCGTTGTAGTTTTTGAAAAGTGATTTCTGTTAAATAAAATATCTCCTTTTGAAGTGGACTTTGAGCTTTGTAACTTTGCAGATATTTTTATGCTCAAACAGCAACATTACAGACTAACTAAAGTTGAAAAAGCATTATAGGACCCCTTTAACATCTCTCTCTGCTGACTGCTGTAATCAATATTTCTCTATTTTTTTTTCTCTTTTGGAAAGTCGTGGAAACTCTATTTTGTTTTTCTTTTGTTATTAGAGCAAATACAAAAATTATATTTGCTGTTATCTCCCATTCACCCCATTGAAGTTTTCAAAATTATGACGACTTCCACGTCTGAGATTCTCGGTAATGTGAAAAGGGTCCATTGTAGTGCTGTGTTCAAAATATCGATACGACGATGTATCCAGACAGAGATTTGACGATACGAGCATCAATACAGCTGGCCCTGTATTGATATTGTGGCATGTGTGCAGCAGTGGACCACGCTTAATTTGTTTAAAATTTTACAACTTTTAAAATTGAGTACAAAAAAAAAAGGCGGTTAGCTTGCAGTTTAGCGATCTCCACTTCAATAATCTATTCTCAGAAAAGTGTAAATCATCAACTGTTCATTTTACGACACAGAGAGAGAGAGGGAGAGAGGCTGTGTATGTATGAATTACCACCGTTTTGCCGCGTTTCTCTATTAACAGT